AAATTTTTTTTTTTTTTTTTTTTTTTTTTAAATCAAGAATGCCATTCTTTGTCCACAGAAGACACGGAGTCTTTCCTCTCTCTTGCTTTTAAAATTAATCTGTGCTCTTTCCAGACTTTCTACTGTGCTGCCAAGCAAGAATTTTTTTCACTTATCTCCCATTAACTTTTGTTCTCCAAACCTCTCCCAAGGCACCATTCTCCCCCCGCCTCCTGTTACATGCTGCTTACTATACCGTGCATGCCACGTGCTACTTGCATAATATTGCCTGTGGTGCTATTTACATCATCACAAACCTGTGGATTGATGACTAACCACAGAACTCTGCCTCTGAATCACAAAAAACTAATTGCTTTGAGAGCCATGTCATTATCACAGTGAGTGCCTATTAATTTTTTCCTCCTTGCAGGAAACTGGTTTATACCATGTCTTTCATGCTTACTTACTAGAACTATTTAGGATTCAAATCATTTGACTCAACAGCACTGATATATGATCTATTTGAGGAAATTAGTCAGCCTGCAAACACTGCATTTGAATACTCACCACAGCAATAACAGGAATGAGCACTCCAAGATTCCCTGCACTACTGGAAGCCTGAAAAAGAATAGAAGTTGTAAATGGTATGAAACCATCACTAACAAAATCATTTTAAATACTGCATACTAAAAAACTTACTTCTAGTGGCAAACATAGCTACTACACACAAATGGAAAGAAAGATATAGGGCAGGCTGTACCCCTGAACCTGCAATTAGATCTGCATGGGCAGACTCCTTGGTGAGCTGCGAAGTACACAAATGAAAATCGACAGGACTGCGTGCAGGTACAGGATCTGTCTAACAAAATCCCATGAAACCAGCCCATGTGTATCCAGTAGCAGGATCAAGGTCTAGGACTCTAGAATATGCACCATTTACTCCCTCAGCTCCTTAAGTGGTTGAGCAGAGAGGCCTTTTTCCACAGACACAGCACCATATTTTTTCGCCAGTAAATATGTTATGCTTTAGCTCGGGAGAACAAGGCATCCAATGATGATCTCTATTCAGGAACATCTAGTAACCAAGAAGGTTTTATACCATTGTAAGTGCCCAAAGCTAACTGTCAGACCTCTCTCAGAAGGACAATTTCTATTTCTGAACTGAAGCCAAAATCATGAATCTGTAATGGACAAAAAATTTAAGGGACTTATTCCACCAGAAAACACTGCTCATCCCAACTGACTTCCATTAAGGATTATTCAAATCAAAGCATCTTTTTCCACATGTCTGGATTTATTTTTACATGATATACAAGGTAATCATGGCCATTCCTGGGCTGGATATGCTGTTAACGGTTATAACGTATTCATGAGTCACCATAAAGAGCTTCTTGCTCCAAGATGAGCTTAATACAGAACAATCCAGTCACCACACATAAGCAAAGACCTTAGAAAGTGTACCTCCCATTCCCACACTGCCTCTGAGGTGGAGGGAGAAGTAATTCTGTGCTTGTGAGGAAGGGCAGTGGAGAAATGGCGCTAGGATCAAGTTAATGGGTACAAGGAAAGGATAACAGCTTTTCACCAGATGAAGCAGATTACAAAGGAAGGACTGTTTGGCTCTAGAGCCATTATCAGATAACTCCTGCACATGCTAAAATCTTTCATGTAAAGACAATTTACAGGAATTGTCAATAATGGCTTTAGGCACAGGCATACATAGGATACATGTGAACACAGTGAATGGAAACAAATTTTACTTTTAAAAGACAGAAACCAGTTTTTGCAGGGTTCAACAATCTGTTAAAACAACCAGTTAATTCTGAAATTAAGTAAAAAGAACAAAAAGCAGAAGTGGTTTAGGCCTGTTGGGAAAGCAAGGACAAAAAAAAAAAAAAACAGAAGGGGTTTAGGCCTGTTGGGAAAGCAAGGAAAAAAAAAAAAAAACAGAAGGGGTTTAGGCCTGTTGGGAAAGCAAGGAAAAAAAAAAAAAAACAGAAGGGGTTTAGGCCTGTTGGGAAAGCAAGGACAAAAAAAAAAAAAATGTTAAAGCCTGGTTAGAGGAAGGGAGGAGCTTCAGCAACACAGTTTGGACCCAAGCATGCATAGGACCTATTTTAGTTTAAATTATCTGGAATATATAAAATCAAGAATAGAAAGTCACTGTCTTGAAATGCCATATGCTTCATTTAAGGCAAATACAAGCCAGCCATACAAATGCTCTCTATGTAATGCAGACTGTTTTTATGGTGGGTCTGCCATTTTACGGTACTTTAAATTGGATATATGTGTAGTGCCCTGGCCATTTACGCCACGATTTAACATGTTACTTGTGGCATAAATGTAATGTGTACAGCGGCCTAAAATAAACTGAATTCCTCTTGGAAAAGCTGACTTCATATCTGTTATTAGGCACTCTTTTCCTTATGAAAAAGTAACCCAGCAGCTTTACTGACTTGGTCAGTGACATAAAAGGCATTTACTTGTTGCAAATGCACAGTTTATCTTCAAAGCAAACAGATCCCATTCATTTCAAAGTGGTTTGCCAAGAGAGTTCACCAGTCCCATAAAAGGATAAGAAAAGAACTTTGCACTATTAAAAACACTGTATGTTCAGGAAGGGAGAAGGTTGTGTTGGGAGGTTAGGGACAGAAAACAACTTTATTACTCTACTGATAGCACAGCTTTAAGAAAAAATTTTAGCACCAAATGTCACACTGAATGGAATATATACATATACACAAATCTGGGAAAAGAAATTCCATTTTTCAATCCTTTTCTTCTTCTTCTATTTAAAAGGAGAAATACAAAGCCATTCCATAACTGGGATATTCTTGGAGGGGCTGGAATGGCCATGCTTATAATAAACGGTGAAGAGTTTGTTATTTCCCCACATGTAAAATTCTCAGTTTACTCTGCTCCTCGAGAATGAGGACTACATTCTGTTGTCTGTTACTTCCCCTTTGAGTTGTCTTCTGCCACCGAGAGTAGAGGTGTCGCAACTGAATTTGTGGCCCAATCAATTTCTCAACGTGTAATGTATTTATATATATTCCCAAGGATATGAGGAGATAAAAGTACTCTTTGGTCCATATTTTCATTCTCAGAGAAACATGTTAGCACTGTACCCTGAATATTTTAGTAAACAGCACCTAGCTGCCATATCAATCAATCATTAATATATCAGTAAGTGCCTGTTCCTGAGTGCTGTCAGTTTAATTTTAGCGGGAGCTGCTCATGCTCTGCAGCTCAAGATCAGCTTATAAAAGTGATCTAATTTGTATTGACCTCACCTGTGGAAGTCTCTCCTGTAAATACTTGAAGTGGTTGTAAAACAATAAGGAAAGAAATCTTGTTATGGTAGGTTACTCAAACAAAAGTGAGATTTACAAAAATGATTTGAAAAA